TGTGTGTGTGTGTGTGTATATCTCAACAGTCTCTGTGTGTGTGTGTGTGTACCAAACCTCTCAGCTTGTGTGTGTGTGTGTGTGATTAATCTGCTGTGTGGCCTCCTATTTACAAAAGCTCTTAGAGATTTACTAAATGGTTTTGCTCTTGGCAGGAATGTGAGTTCCCAGGAACTTGGAAGTATCAAAGTGGGAATCTTGGGAATTAACTTGCTACGGAAGTTATGGAAGAAAGCTATTGCTTTATTTGATAAGTGAGGAAACAGAAAAAATGAAATCAGGAGAGGGATAAATAGAGGAATTCTTTCAGTAAATTCTCCTGTGTTTCATTAGGACAGATTCTGCCCTCACATGCATAGCTGTAAGCCCAGAGTAGCTCAGAAATGTTCTTCTGTAGTGCATAAGTCCTTCCCTAACATGGCTCATTCACTGTATAAAATGTTGACAGTGAAGAAAACATGAAATACAGTATAATGAATAGAAGCAGCTGCAGCAGCATCACTGTCTATCTACAACTAAGTGACCATTCTGGTTAGAAACTCCATTCCAAAAAGATGCCTGAATTTAATTCATTTTCGAAACCAAACAAGTTCTGAATTTAGTTCCATAATTACATATTTGTAAAACAAGATTTATGAAATCCTGCTTTTTCCTGTTTTGGGAAAGCTCAACACAAATAAGGGTTTACAGAACTAGTTTAAGATTCTGACTTTTTGAGCTTCAAAAGATTTTATCGTATTAAAAGCCAGCGGAATTGCATCACTTCACACAATTGTTTTCATCTTGATGTGTTTGTGTTCTGCCTTGTTCTGCCTGCAGATTCCCAACTGTGTAAATTGTGACTGTAATCCACGTACCTTTTTCCCTGGATATCAGCATTCTCCATGGAGTATGCTTTAGGTATGTAAAATTCCATGCATATGAATAAGATTTTTTAAAAATTATATTGAAAGACTGAAGAAAATAGTCCATAGTATCATGTAAATAACTAAATTTTCATCTACAAAATCCCCTCAAAACAAAACAAAACAAAACAAAAAGCTCAAAAAGGAAAATCCACAGTATGTTTTAGCCCATACAAAAATGTAAATTTATTTCTCATAAAATAGAGACATTGAAATATAGTAATAATAATACTAGTAGAAATAAGAGTAACAGCAACAACAGCAATAGAATTTGTTATGGAAACTTGTGAGAAGCTTTAGAAGCAGAAAAGATAGAAAATTTTTGGAGAAGTGTACCCATCAGTTCTAACTCAGCAGTGTGCTACTTAGGACTTTATAGAGATCTTGTATATGTAGATTCATTGTCGACTGTGGAACTGTTGTTTGCCACCAGCAGGAACGACTTCAGCTTATCTGTGGAATTACAGCACAAACTTTTCATTTTGATTTGGGTCTCTGTTATTTTTTGTCTTTCAGGTTTTTTTCTTGTTGGCCCAAATCACATTTGGAAACCAAAAAAGGCCTGAATCCAACTTATTCCTTGTTGTAAGACCATTTTAGGTTCATGCAAATGGTGAAAAAAAATAAATACATCCAAAGCTATTTAGTGGCCTTCAACTAGTTTAACCTACATGTGAACCCAGACTATACAAAGCTCTTCTTTATGTACCCAAAGGGAGTTTCACAGTGTGGACCTGCCTTTTATTTTTAAGCTTGTGTGTGAAGGCTATTCCTCATCTGAGGTAATCTCCAGCTATGCAGCAAATATTTTGCATGTAACTATATGAATATGCTGTCAGCCAAACTTTCTAACTTTCTAAAACAGCTTCTTTTTTTATTTTTTTTCCACTTGCCGTATTAATCATACATAAAGAACTAATAAACAGAAGTGCTATGTTTATTTAATATATCTCTAGGCACACATAACAAGAGTATACTCCCATAACATAAATGCAGAGGATGCTCTTTTTCATGTAATACAGGAGCTCATACCATGTGGCTGATAATGATGAAAAAGATAAAAGGATAAAGCCTCTTTAATCCTTGCTTCACTGTAAAGCCATTAATGTTTGTACATACATGCAAATTTCTACAGAGTAACAAGTATTAAAGACTGCATAAAGTAATCTAAAATCTTACTACAGTCAGTAGAAATACAGCTAAAGATTGTGTTCATGCCAGTCAGAGCTCTACTTTTTATATACAAATTAATATAAATCTACAAATACAGCAGTAAAATAATTTCTTAATTCACCAGATGCAAAAATAACCCTTTAAAAGTACTGAATCAGTCATTTTTCTAGAAAATAAAACTATCTTTGATTTTCAGACATTATTTTTGTCATCAGGAGGGGTGATGATTGTGGTATACCCTCAGATGTTAAACTGATAATCAGGAATGCTGTCTATTCACAAAGAAGCAATGTTAAATTTTGAGGCTATTAGCCAACCCCAGTGAATGGATGCAAACAGAGGGAGTAGTTTTCTTACAAATACATCCATGTAGGCATCTACCTTTTCAAATGCTTTGTGCTGTAAATGAATTTGTTCATTATTAGTAGTCAGACACTACTGTTGTGACCTAGCTGTCCTTAGGCAGGCACGGAAAGGACACACTTCTACAAATATTCACCTTATTAGGTTAGCTTATGAGGTGTGCTGCAAATGTGAAATATACCACTCATATAAACAACTTCAGTAAGATGCATCTCTTTAAGCATAACAATTTTATGTTATAGTCAGTGCAAAGTGTTTTACAGTGTAAAAAACCAATCTAAAAATCTTTAATTCACCAATACTGTCCTTCTCTGATCATCATATTCAGTTAGTTTACTGTCTTAAACTTCTGTCTCACTATTGCCCACATAACAGGAAAACCCTGCATTCTATGATATTAATGAAAAGTCATTAATTCATGCTAATGTTATTATTTAATCAAAATTGTTTTGGCAAGTTGTCTCACAATCAGGGAAATATGGTGATCTGGGGGTACAAAAGTCTTTCGTTATCTCACATAAAAGTGTTCATAGTGTAGGTGAATGTCTTCACATCCAGCCAAATATGATTAATGCAGATCCTTTCTGGGTGTAAATACCATTTCATTTCATGCCAAAGCAACTAGCTATGAGGCCAATTCTTTCTTGAACTGATAGGAAATAAGAAGCAGGGCAGATCCCTATAGAAAAATCCTGGTCCCACAGATGCCAAGGAGAACTTTTTGTCATAGCTGTCAATCAAGACAGATTTCATTTATTTTGTCAGGAAGAATATCTTTCTTGAACAATGGATTCATAGCATATTCATAGACAGGTCTAAAGTAGGTTTGAAAAGCATTTAAGTAACTTTCCAGACTTCACCATCACACTCATCCTTTGAATTACTCTTCCCATCCCAAAACCTACTAGAATTGTGTAAATGGCTTTTTGATACTATGTTTTATTTTTCCCAGGGATTAGTCTCTGGAATCTCACCTATCTTGAACTTTTATATATTAACTATTTTGATTTATTTTTGAATGGGAGAGAATTGTCACAAAAGCTGAAAAATTCCACATTTAAAAATTCATTTTAGAAGAATGGACCTCTAAATGCAGCTAATAAATGAAAGCAAATTTCGATCTGCCATTTATTAACACAGCAAAAATACTGCTCTAATTTTGAAATAAAATATTGCTCAGGAATAAGAGTGACTGAAGTGGTTTTTTTGGACAATAGACAAAATGCATCCTATTATTTATTAGCAGCAGGGTAGTGTTCTGTAATCTTTTTGGGAACAATATATATTTTTTTCAAAGTACAAAGAACCAAAAGTGCAACAAAAACCCCTTCATGCACTGTTTCCACCTTCATTCTCTCTCTACCCAGAAGCAAAGAGTTTTCTTTAATTTAGAGGGGTATCTCCATTTTTGTGGAAAAAAAGATACTGACTACTACTACTACTATTAATACGACGACTACTACTACTACTACTACTACTACTACTACTACTACTACTACTACTGCAATTTTACAGAAGCAACATATTTTAAACAATTCTATGCATCAGAAGAGAAAAAAATACAAATAAATCTTCAATATATGATTGACAATCTATACCATGATTGAGGGCCACTGTGATACAAAGCATCACAGAAAGAAACATGGAGTGCAATTAAATTTTTGGTTACCTTACAAGCACTTTTAGAATTTAATTAGATTAATAAAGACCTATAAAGACTTTGAGTCTCTATGGCAATTAGAATTTTTCATGGTAGTTATTTTACAACCAAGCAAAGCATAAAGAACTTAGTAAAATAGGTTATGTGCTGGAGTGAATTGCTTTTGAGAAAAATTGATAGGGGAAACACTGAATTGAAGTGAATGAATATGAATTTTGTATTTATATTAATTTTTGATCAATCAGCTTTTCCATTTTTCATCAGTAATTAATCAGGAAGTCTTGTTAAGTAGGTTCTGGCCTATTTGGCCTATTTTCTGTTTCTGATCAGCAATTCTTACAAAAAGGTTTGTCCTTAATCATCTCATGTGCATGATGGTAAATTAAGTTCCGTTGTTTGGTGCACACTTAAGATATATGATGTTGGCTTTGGAATAAAATCAATATTCCTGGATTTCTAAATCCTTTCTTTTGTTGAAAGTGGGAAGTTGCATTGTGCAGACTGGAAGAAAAACAGTTGGAAACAGTGGGAAATTGATCTATGATAGATCATCTTTACCAGTAAAACATAAGTGAAGGAAAAGAAAATAATTCCAGTAATGTATTGTTTTTGGGAAATAGTTCCAATAGGCATTGTAAAAAAATTCTGATAATTTAAAGGGTTTTTTTTTTCTTGTGGTTTTTTGGGGTTTTTTTTTGGGTTTTGTTTATTTGTTTGTTTTTTTGTTTTATTTTTTATTAGACTTTCTTAATTGAATTTCTTATAAATCCTCTATAACAGGAAAATTACATTATTTTTTGCAATTTGCACAAAGGATTGAGTAAAATGACAGATTTTGCATGTATGTTTGGTGTTGCCTGTACTGCTTAAGTAGTAATTCCTAGAATACTGGCCCACTAAAACATCCTGGTAGGATGAATCCATCTTCTTGAAGTCTGTTCTAAAGTTAATTAGTCTCCTAGTTTGAGTTTAGGAATTAATATCCTAAAACTTGTTCACACACTAGATAGCTGGGGGTCATGTTAAACTATTTGAAGTGCATTTGACTTCCGTGGGCAAAACTGGCTTTACAATCTCACATTTTCATTTTCCTGTGCTGCTTCAGTGAAGGAAAGTATATATACCACAACAAACAAGGTTATATGGGAAAAAAAACCATAATGGATACGTGATTTCCGATATAGAAAAAATTTCCCACTGTTTAACTTTGTGTTTAAAATATAATTTATTCAGCCAGTAAGCTTATTCATTTTCTTTTGGAAGTTTTCAAAGAATGGAGTAGTCAGGTACAGCTGAATGTAAAAAATGATAGTTTGTAACTGACACCCAAAACTCAAGACTGATCCTAATTGGCCTGTTTATGATTTAGTTTAGTGTGTACCACTTATCACATAGGTAGTAAAACCACCTTACTTTCCAGAAAAAGAAGAGTAATGTAAATCCAGGGCTTTTTTAAGGTCAAGGCAAATGCTATGACTCCCTGTATCTTTGGAAAAGCTAATGATAGATGTGTCTTCATCTGAAGGTAGAAGTTTTGTGTCTCTGTGTACAATGATAAGTTCAATACTATACAAAAAATCATAATGCTGTTGATGCTGACAAGAATAATTGCTGAGTGCTGTCAATGGTGTGAGACAAACAGAGAAACCTTACTTTTTGTAAGGATTCTTTAGAAAAAGGCTCACTTTCTTATCTTGTTCTTAGGACTGTTACTGATAACTGATGTAGAAACATTTTTCTGAATAAAATTTAAGTGGCTGCTGACATTTTGATTGTGATGTTGCACAAGTGAATTTTAGAACAAATAAGGAATTTAAAAGCACTGGCCTTAATTGTGCAGGTAAAAGATATGGCAATGATATATAGGGCAATGATAACAGACATGGCCTTCTTTCACTAGCTGGCCTACCTAAAGAAAAAGATTATAAAATTCATGTGCTTGTGAGATAAGAATAGCTTAAAGTGCCAAAACTCACTCTCCCTTCAGACTCCCTCTTTGAATGGTGTCCCAGGTAGTGATTTAAAACAGGTATTGCTTCTTCACAGCTGTAAATCAATTCTGCAATCTGAAATGCCCTTAAAGTATTAGGGTGAAAAGCACAAGTTTTGATTCTGCAGTGTGTCCGCCTCTTCTACAAAGTACAATTGCTGGTACCCTATTAGAACTTTTCCCATTTCCATATCTAGTAATTAAATGAGAATGCTGAGTTGTGTTATGTGTGTTTATATGTGTGTTCATGCTAGCATGCTCTGTGTCTAGCCTATGGATGGAAGAAAATTGAAAAAGTGTTAAGTGTTGCTCAGTGCACATGAAAATTGTGAATACTTCAGAATTGTGTTAATTATTTGGAAGTTCTTATGCAATCTATCAATTTAATTAACTGGAAAAACTGTGTTTAAATTCTGAACTTTAAATTCTGAACCAGGCATTG